GAAAGTTTCTGACTTTGCTGATGGCATCCTGACAGTGTCTCTCCTCTGTAATTTTTGGCTGGACTCTTACCAGTGTTACTCCATCGCTATTCATCCTATGTTGTTTTTATGTCTATGCTCACGTGACTTGCTGGGGAAGGGAATGTTTCTTATATCTGATAAAAGAGACTCAAGAAATATTCGAGGTCTTGTCTGCCGTATATAGTCACCACCCCCTTTGCTTTGGGTATGCAGGTGGGGAGCGGGCGGTGTTATGGACAGAATGTTTGTGCCCCCCTTCTTACATTGAAACCCCAACCCATAATTGGGACTAGATGATGTCATATGGGTGGGGCCCTCATGAATGAGATTAGTACAAGAGTGAGAGTGACAAGAGCTTGCTTCCTGTGCTTTGCTCTCTGCCACGTGAGGCTTCCAGTCGGCAGTCGGCCCCCTGGAAGAGGGCTCCCGCCAGAAGCTGACCATTCAGTGCCAGCACCCTGATCTCAGGCTCCCAGTCTCCGGAACTATAAGGGAGAAATTGCAGTTGTTTATAAACCCTCCAGTTTGTGGTTTCACTGCAGCAGCCTCCACTGTGAAGATGTGAGGAGGGGTGGGGCATGAAACAGATGTTTGCATGACGTCTATAGAACAAGACTACTAACTGGAATAAAATTGCAGAACCCACTTGGAAACTGTGACTGTCATTGTCATGGTATTTTACTATTTCCTAGCACAGTAAAGTGTGAAATCTGGCTTTGGCCTCCCTTACTTCACACTTCCAGTAAGTTTATCACCATGTTTTCTATCAAGTTGATACAGTACTACCGTCCACTATTTTAAGACCACCACATCTACTCATCACTGAATAGACCATGATAATGGCTAGCTAAGATTTATATAATACGAAAATGGGAACTTTGTCAATGGAGGCATGAAACCAAGCTCTCAGCCAGTTATGTTATCTTTTATAGCAAAATGGCCTTATGGCCAATTAGCTATGCGGCAAAAATGTTTGCAGGGAAAATGCCTGCAGCAAAGATGTCTAGGGCAAACGTGTTCATGACAAAACTACCTAGAAACAACTGACTCATTCAGAGAAGATGATGAATGAGTACAAATTTAAGCTGTGCCATGGGGCTAGGGGAGGAATGGAGACAAGACTATTTAGGTCACAGAAAGGACCCATCAATCATTGGATATAAGGATAAATGAGAAGAAATTTTGAATAATCTCCAGTTTTCTATTTTGGGAGTCTAGCTGGATAGTGGTAACATTCAGAGATAGAATACATCAGGGCAGGTTCATATTAATGGCTTGCTTCTTAATCTGAATGGTGGGGATATAACCGCGCTTACCCCCTACTGTGGTTCAGAATATTCATTAAGATAACAGACAAAGCACCTGGGACACAGGATGTGCTCCATAAGTAACAGTAATGTTATCCCATTACCTGCAGGCCTCCTCTGACTTCCTCCATCTTTTCCTGTAAAAAGAGAAAAGTCTTTCCATTCTTAGAGAGAAAGATCTCAAATGTGACCTTCCTGGCCAAATATTTTCTGCTCTCCCAAGCTAAACACAGTATTTTGTAACTGTGCCACCCTTCTTGACCCCAGTCCTGCCCCCAGGAGACTGTTCGGTCACCTGGGCCCTTTCATTCTATACCTGCTGTAGTCACAAAAGCAGCACACATCACGTAAGGTGGACACAGGCCAGCTTCTGGGTACACGCTAATTCCTTCCGCTTTCCAGGAGATAGTTTGGGGACTGCGTAGCAATCTCCAGGATGTTTCCCCAGTCTCTGAATTGAGGGGTTGAGGGACTTCTATCTACATTGCAAGGCCTCAAGAGGGTTTCCCTGCAACCTGGAGCTTCTCTGGGTTAGCCAACCAGGCTGCTTAATTGTCTCTGAGGCCCAGGAAAGAATGTTTCATGCTTAGGAGATACCTAAGGAGAGCGTCCTCTCCTCCCCGCCATTAATGAACATGTAGGTACTTTAATTCATCAGGGGAGCTGTGGGACATCTCGGACGCGAGGACAGGCCAGTGAGGGAGAGGAGCATTACCGAGGAGAGAGATGGGCGTCAGGGGTTGCCTGGGGCAGGCCCAGCAGGGGCATCCAGGAAGCAGAGGGGAATGAAAGGTGTGACGGAAACCTCACTGGCACATCCTCTGTGTAAGCAGCCATCTAGCCAGGCTCGCAGGGATGTGAAGGTACATTTGGGCTTGAAGCAGTCAGCGTTTGGGGAAGGACAGAGACACAAAGGGGACTGATTCGAAAAACAGCAAGAAAAGTACAACAGTTGTGATGAAATAGGCACAGGAGAGGCATGCAACCGAAGGGAGCAATTTTTCATGTTTAAATGTAGCACCGAAGTGAGGTTTTTGTTTTAAAGATGTGATAAAGTGACTAACCAAGTGAGAATAAATGCAAAGTAATGTGCTAGGATGCCTTACTATTCTTCCCAAGTTATACTTTAAAACAATAATAGCAACGATAGTATTAACTGACATGTTTCTCTCTAGTGCACCCTATTTAGGATATTTTGAGGAAGTCATTATGTGTTTTTTAACTGTTTTATTGAGGTATGAACAATATATAAAAACTGTAGCTATTTAATATCAATGCCATTAACTTACCCATCACCTCTAAAATTTCCTTCCACCTCTCCTTTGTGGTAACAGTACATAAGCACTACCCTCTTAGCACATTTTAAGTATGCAGGTTGTGGACGGCCCCGAACAGCACCCCTGGGACTGTGCAGGACCCAATCTGCATAGTCAGTGCAATGTCTGTGGAAAGCTGTGGGTTACAGAAAATGACACTCCCTGAATTTTATCTTTGTTGAGAGCAGTGACATTTGACATTTCTATTTGACCCAGCCTGCCAGTCCCTTCACCATAGAATGATCTCAGCCTAGAATTTTCTCCCTTTGACACTTCCCAACCTTTACCTCTGGGAGCTCTTGCTCATTTATTTCAGATAAAAGATTATTGCCTTTTGTACACCCACGGTCATACCAGCATTATTTGCAATAGTCATAAAAGTCGAAGCAACCCAATCCTCTGATGGATGAAAAGATAAACAAAATGTGATGTGTATACACATACACACACACAATGGAACATTATCCAGCCTTAAAAAGAAGCCAATACTACAACTTGGGTGAACCTTGAGGATTTAGGCTAAGTGAAATAAGCCAGGCACAAAAGAACAGACATGGCACAATTCCACTTACATGAGGTCCCTAGAGGAGTCGGATTCATAGAGACAGAAAGCACAATAATGGTGTCCAGGGGCTGAGAGAGGGGGGAATGGAGAGTTATTGCGTAATGGGTACACAGCTTCTGTTTTGCAAAATAAAGAGTTCTGCAGATGGATGGTGGTGATGGTAACGCTACAATGTGGATGTGCTTAATGCCCCTGAACTGGGCACTTAAGAATGATTGAGATGGTAAATTTTATATTATATGTATTGCACCATAAAAAATTATTATGTACCTTTTAAAAAACGTGTTTTCTTCTGAAGGACCTTCCCTAATCCCCTGTAGAAGGTCAGGGCCCTCCCTAATCCCCTGTAGAAGGTCAGGTAAATTTTATATTATATGTATTGCACCATAAAAAATTATTATGTACCTTTTAAAAAACGTGTTTTCTTCTGAAGGACCTTCCCTAATCCCCTGTAGAAGGTCAGGGCCCTCACCATGCTCCCTGGTACTGGACCATGGTTCCCCTACCCATCACTTACTACACTCCAGTGCAATAACTGCATCAGTCACTACCTAGTGCTGCCCTCAAGCTTTTTGCAAAAAACTTCTGTCCTAATGTGTTTGTAGCCACCAAAATTAACTTCCTGACTGGGCATACAGCTAGATCACTTACCAAAATTGCTTTGACTTAAGTTTGACTATATAATTAAGTTCTCCTTAATGAAATTTTTGATCTAAAATAATGGGTGCCCCTTTCAGATTTGGCCCTAGAAATCTCTCATGTGTGGTCTTAACGCCCATTTTCCCCAGACTGCCATATATTCAGGATGACAAAGGGAGCCTTCAACACAACAGCGCATGTGGAGGATGCCAGGGCCAGTGACGTCAAGGGTTCCTGAGAGACCATGTGGGAACAAGCTGACCTGCTGACGTAAAGTTCCATCCAGGACTCTTATGCAAACAGGACACAAAATCTCTTGTGTATGTCACTGAAATTTTGGGAGTCCTTTGGCTACTTCGCCCTCCCTCCCTTTACTCATCCATTAATCCACCTCCTTCATCTGACTTCATCACTTATACGTAGGAGTGGGGAGCAAGCTTCTTAGCCCCTCTTAGGTTCAACTTCTTTATTGGGCACATGGGAATAAAGGGGTTTGTTTTATAGAATTGTGGCTATAACATAGTGCAGCACTTAGCCCATAAGGAGCTTATTGGTGATTATGAATGGCCCCGACTATGCACTCATGGCTGACCATCGGCGTGCCTCAATGCTCCGTACTTTAGAGGTATCATCTCCAATTCGGACATGCCTCTGTATGAGCAGCTATAGGAAACCCAGCCTTGCATTTCAGCTGCACTATGTCACGACTTCTAAGACACCATTGCTTTTCAAAGACAGTATCCTTTTAATAAAAGTCTTTCAGGAGAAAAATACACTATCCTTTTTAGCTGTATGCATTGATATTATGACTGGTTTTGATTTCAGAAACCTTAAATTATAGGAGAAAATTCTTAGGATAGACGACACATGGTATTTATACAGTTCTTTTATCTCTTCTTACCCACACTTGCTGATTCTCAGGCCATGTGCATGCACATGGGCTCACACGTGATAAGATAGGAAATTCTAGCTCAATTGTCTGACAGTCCATAGCAGTCCACCTTGAAAAGAGTACGGGTCAGCACATGTGATTTAACTGAGCCACAGAGACGTGGTGGCCTCATGCAGGACACAGCCAGGCTCTCCTGGGGCTCTGGTGACTTTCACTGCCCCGAGTTAGACATACGGGGTTTGTCGAGGACCTGTGTCTGGATATGCTAAATTCCTAGAGCCCCCAGGAGCAAAAGGAGAAGAAGCCCCTTTCCCAGGAGCAGCCACGTCACTGGGCAGTAAGTGTGGGCAGCTGCCCTGGCATCTGGAAAAGAGAAATAGAATGCGTGAGGCCAGAGCTTGGTGTCTGCATGGAAGGGGGGACTGCTGACAGGTGCTGAGTGCTCCCAGCTCCTTCTAGAGCTGCACAAAGTATTTCTCAGAGTCCTGGGGAGGCTGGAAGGGACCAGTTACCTGCCCGAAGCTGCCTAGCAAGGGCGGAGCTGGAGTTGGTCTTGCTGGCAGAGCTCATAGCTATAGAGGTTGAGGGCCCGTCCAGCTCATAAGGGCTCCAGGAGCCCCTGAGGACAAACCCCTTCTGGGGTACAACAGCTCCTGGCCCCACTCATATACCATGTTCTCCCCTCCTTCCCCCACAGAACACCTCCAGGTGCCATTCCGGGCCCCGCACTCAGGGACGATGGAATCTACTCTAACTTGAGGCCTAGCTAGCCACTCGGCTTGAAGCAACAGTTTTACAAGATACAGGTGGGCATAAGGGGCCTTCCTAGGCCATCCCAGGAGAAGAGGGCTCGGAATAAAGGGGGAGACAGAAGCAAGGAATCCAGATCCCTTCACAAAAAAGATCCTGCGTCTTCCGTTTCCTGCCCCTGAAGGGCTGAATGAAGGGGCAGCTGCAGTGGTTTCAACCAGCTACAACTACAGCCTTCAGCCAGTCAGCTGGTGACTTGGGGGGACGATAAAGAGTAAGGAAAGGAGATGACCTACCAGGGAGGGGTCCTGGACTGGCCCAAAGAGTGAAGCCAAGGGACAACGTCTACCAAGGGTGACTGAGGCCCCACCCCCAGGCCCAGAGGATGGCCCAGTCACCCTTACCAGTAGGGACCGGCCCTCTAGGCCCTGACTCACTGAAGCTCCTCGGAGTGTAATCAGAAAGCAATATGGAGGTCTTTGTGGTTATCAAGATGTGGTGAGTTCGCACATCCGCCATCATCAGGTTGCTGAGCTGCAGGGAGTGGGTCTGAGTGACCTGCAGTCGATCTTTCCGTCGTGGGTCAGTCACCATGATTTGAGGACTTCCCACTTGGTTCACCTGTATGAAGACGATCGATGTTCCATTGTGAAGCCAGGTGACAGACTCAGTCTCCCGTCCTGCAGAAAGCTGCAGGGGAAGAGTTACGGCCTCCCCCAGAACCCCGGCCACCATCAGCGGGGTTGAGCCGGTTTGTGGAACTGTGTTCCCTGTAAACACAGAAGGGAACTGCATAAAAACTGCTCCTGGCCTCCTCCCTCCCCGCAAGTCAGGCTTAGCTCTCCCTGGTTGGGGCCCCCGAGAATGCTGGGCATCAGCACCTGTGAGTGGTGCCATGGCTGCAGCTGGAAGCTGGCACTTCCTCCTCCCCTTCCTGCTGGGCTCACTGTCCCCCAGCCCCAGGGCTGGGTTTCTATGAGAGCTATTGACCCTATTAGACCAGAAGGGAGACCAGAGGAGAAGTCAGGGCCTGGCCTGGCCCCTCTTTATCCTTAGCCCTCAATTTCAACAATCTCATGACTTCCTGTTGTCTGAAATGCTTCCTTACTGTGGGGCGAGGGTTTCAATATTACTGCAATTCTGGTGTCTCAACAGTGTTCGATCCACTCTAAGCATCCCTAGGTGACAGGTGACAGTCCTGTCCTAGCCTCTATTTAGATGTACAGTTTGGGGCAGCCTGCTGATTTCTCCAGGCCTCTTCTCTTCCTTTATAAAACAGTGCAGATGAAATGTAAAGCCTTTCAGATTCCTAACGATTCTGACATTCAAAACCTCACTATCCTATGTGCCCTCGACCCTCTTTCCTCCTCTCCTTTTCCCTCCATCACTCAGCCTCCCCTCTCGCGTCATGGAGCCATTCAACCTCTGCTTGGTTCCCCAACCTCCCTGACGTGGGTGCTTGGTTCAGGGAAAGGCTGTGCCTGGCGGTGCCCATGGGGCCTCTCTGCCCCTTGGAAGATCGAGCAACAGGGGAGGAGCCTCTGACTCACCCATCCTCCCGGGACTGGAGAGGCAGGAGGAGGCAGGGCTGAGCAGGGGGTCCCAGGCCAGCAGAACTCACCTGGTTTGCCCTGAGGACCCCAAGAGAAGGTGGAATAAAGCGGCGCGGCCTATTCTGCAGCACCAACAACCAGATGAATGTCTGTTAGTTCCCCAAGCTCAGCGCTTCTGCTGACCCCTTCCCTCATTTTATCTTGATTGGTCCTGACATCTAAGATTCTGTCCTTAAAGTCATTCTGAGTTCATACATATGAAGATCCCACTTTAGAGGAACCTCATTTACTTTGACAAATGGTTCTGATACAGCTGGTTAGCTATTTTTACAAAAAGCTGAAATCTCCTCCTACCCCAAAGGCTGTGAGAAGTCCCAGGTATGTTACACCCAGTATCCCCACAAAACCATTGCAGTAGGCAACATCCCCATTTTGTGGGAGAGAAACTGGAGCTTCTTATTAAACAACTTGCCCAAGACCAAATTGCTAACATGTTCTTAGTTCCCTCTCTTACCAATGTCCCCAGTCCCACTGATTTATGCCCAGGGTGGTCTCCTTGGAACTGTGGCATAGCGTGCCAAGCAAGGAACTTGAGGGCCTGCCAGTGGACCCAATAGGTGGCATCTTGTCATTCTGCGTCCTAGAGATGAGCAGCGCCTCTTTGCTATGTTAGAATGGCAATGTGATGACTTTCACAGACCAAAATAAAAATATCATGGGGAAGGTTAGAAAAGAAGGAAGTCACACGGAGAGATGGCCTAGCAGCTTATAACACTGGCCAGAGAGCTAGGTGGTAACCATGAACAGGAAATGCAACTTGATCTTACAGGCTGAGAGAGTATCCAGAAATGTGCAAAATACTGTGTAATGTGACTTGTCAGTGCTGGAACTGGGAGCGGGGTCTGCCTTTATGATCAGCAGAGTCGAATGGAATAGATGTCAGGAGATACAAGGGATTCATCTGCATGTGGGAAGGGACAGGTGGCACTTTCTCTAGCCATGGGAAGTCTGCATGTCCCCACTGAGGAGAATAATTAAAGAAATCACTGAGAGAGGCCTCTTAGGACATCTTTGGAAAGTCTTGATTCTAGAAAAGACGACTTATATTTTACATAAGTTCATTGTAGACAAACCAAACAAAATTTAAAGGTATAAATAATGAAATAGAAACCCTCTAAAATCTTATCACTCATAAATGATCCTGTTAATATTTTGGCAAAATTCTTTTAAAATTTATCTCTGTGAATATGTATACACACATAGCATTCACACACACACAGATGGAATCATCTAATTTGCTGATCGACAACCTTTTATAACTCAAAAAATAGATCTAAAAAGTGTTCATCCCACTATTTGACTCAGTTTTTATGAAACTGATCTATGGAGAAACCGTACTGAATGTCCAAGATTGTGGATTTGTCTGTCTGCTTCCTCATGACGGTACCATAAATAGAAATGAGCTATGAGGACTTAATTCATTTCAGGTGTAAGTGTTTTTGAACGTACACTTCAAAATGGTGCTGTGTGTTTATGGCTGCATCAAATTAATAGGCATTCAGTGTCCGGGTGTCCCACTCTTAGACATGTTAAGACCTGTTATTGGGTTCACATGGTGACTGCTTAATTTCTCCCTTGTAAAGTTTATTACCAAACATTTGCCTAAAGTTTTCATGCACTGTCTCTCCCTACCTGAATTGTTTATTCCATTAGGCATTAAAATAGAACTGAGATGGTTCTATCAGAGGGTAAATGCATATGTAGTGGCTGGATATTGCTGAACTCTCCTCCATTGGAGTTGTGACCATTTTCTGTGCCAACCAATGATGGGTGAGGTATTCTATTTCAATCCAGTATGTTTTCAAACCTGGTTTTCAGCCATAGGATAGGTGAGAGATGTTATCCCAGAATGGATTTAATTGGTGCGTCTCTTGTGATGATTGAGGATGAGAGGACTGGGTTTTGAAGTAGAAAAGAAGGCATGGAAATCCATGCTATGCTAAAGATTGAGAGTGAACCCAATCACTTCCTCCCTTAACCAAAAAACATCCTTGCATCAAGCTTGGCACCAACTTCCTCTTTCATCAGTAACACTTCTCTCCTCAACTGCCAGAGTTCGCAGGAAATTAAACAGGGAATTGCCCAAGGCCACACAAGAGAAATTAGGATTTGCAAGTGTCTCTCTCTGATAACAGATTCCTGATTAGTGCCATACCATTACAGTCCGTTGCACCAGCAGCAGAGGAGAGGGACTTCCAAGAAGGAAGGAAAATCTGCTATAAGGAGGTTCAATGGAACGTAGATTTCCCCCAAGAGTGGGTGGACAGCTGGTACGCAAGGCAGCGAGATGAAATAATTATCTGGGTTATGAAGGCATCAGGAGAAGTAAGGATGAGACATGAGCACATAGCTCTATTTTTACTTGAGATATGTAGCAATCCCTATAGATATTTGTATAAGACGGCTGAATAGAGAGAAATGCACTTATAGTTTATATCAGTTAACATTGTGTGATGTAATTGTGAGAGTTAAGTAAATAATCCAATTTAAAACATTGGATTATAGATACGCTTACATGGCTTATTCTAGCTGAAGTTAATTAATAATTGATAATACGTAGGCTGGTTTGGTTGTTCGAAACAACTTTGGAGGAAATGAGAGGTGTTAGTCAACAGGCACAAACTTCCAGTTATAAGATGAATCAATTCTGGGAATCTAAACTACAGCATGGTAATCACAATTAATGACACTGTATTATATACTTATAAATTGCTAGGAGAGTGGATCTTAAATGTTCTTACCACAAAAAAGAAATGGTAATTATATGACAAGGTAGGAGTGTTAGCTAATGCTATGGTGGTAACTATTTTGCAATGCATAAATGTATCAAATCAATGGGTTGTATACCTTAAACTTATACAATATTCTATGTCAACTATATCTCAAGAAAGCTGGGGGAAAAGGCCTTAGCAATTACTCTTAGGGCTAACTCTGATCCTCAGATAACAGAAACCACCTTTCCCAAGAACATCAGCTGATCAAGTTGGAAGAGGCTCAGCAGGAGAGAAAAAGTTGGGGGGGATTTTCTCATCAACACCAGGTTGTCTAAAGGGAACTAAGTGTCTCTGGCTGGATAGACTCTTCTTGGTCTTTCTTCAGGGGGACATATCACTGCTGTCCTCCATGGTGGGAGTTTCAAATGACCTGAGGAACTTCAGACCCAAAGCTAATTCTCTTCTTCCACCTGGGGAAGCGTCCCTGAACTAACTTTGCACACCCAGGTATGCTTCCCATCCACACCAGCTCTTTCGCCAAAAGGCAGAATGCTGGAGGATGTTAAGAATGGCCTTTGTTCACCTGTGGCCAGGAGCCTCAGCCAGGCAGTGGGCTGTCCTCCCCCACGGTATCCAACTGTCTCTCTTCCCACTGATGTCTTCCATCTGTGGAAGTCCTACCTTTTCAATTGCTCCATTATGTCTGGACATATTTGGACTCATTCAGCATCTGAACACTTTTTGAGCCCCTGTTCTGGGCTACACATAACATCCTCCCAGGCAGCTTCAAGCAGCAAATGGGCATGCATTACAGCAAGAGGCAGTGATGTGCTCCCTGGAAGGGACAACAGGAGCCAGAGAAGATGAGCTGGTGTTTTAGGGTAATAGCTAAGACTGCAACCCAGTTCTGAGGAGCCTCAGCATTGCAGCCCCAGCCATGAACATCACCGATTCCACGGAACTCAAACATGCCTCCACCCACTTCAATGAGTCATACAAGGGCCATTTACAGGCTAAAAGTTGTGGTCACTTGATCACCCCCACCCTTCTCATTTCCTGAATCTTGTGAAGCTGGCCCGTCCCACCGAGCAATCTCATCTCACTCCCACCAGCCTGAGGAGAAGGAGGTACTTCCACTGTCCCCCCGCAGAGCCATCCTTGGGCTTGAGGCTGGATTTCAGGGGCATGAGAGAGCTGCCCATGGATCTACCTTATTACCACGGCCCTCTGTCCAAGCGAGACTGTGAGACCTTGCTGCTCAAGGAAGGGGTGGATGGCAACTTTCTGTTAAGAGACAGCGAATCTATTCCAGGAGTTCTTTGCCTCTGTGTCTCGTGAGTAGCCTCATCTTCTACACATTTGGAACCTTACATTGAATGTATACTGATAACCAATAGAAAGGAAATTGCATTTCACTCTGACTTTGCAGTCCAAATGGGCAGAGTGAAAAGAGCTAGCCACTGCCGAGTAAGTGGTATTTTAGAAAGGTCCTCTCCTGCAGAGGTCGGTGTATTCAGTATAGGAACGGCTATGTGCCCTTTATGAAATTTCAATATGAGAGACCAGAGTTTTACATGTATTCTGCTGGCTACACTTGCAATACTTAGAATACTAATAATATTTCACATTTTGTTAGATTTGTAAAGGGCTTCAACGTCTGTCATTTCCTCTCATCCTTCTGGTAGTCTATTAAGCAAGCATAAGCAATTGTCATTTTACAGCTGAAGAAAAAGAGACCTGAATTTCTCCAATGACTTGCTTGTGTTAAAATTCATCTGGCATTTCCAAAGAGGCTGAGTTCAGTACGAAATTCTAGGGGCCAGAGCCTTAGAGCTGCCCTGCTGAAGGAAATTGTTTAGTCAAGTTTGGAAAGCAGTTCTGAACAGATATCAGAAGAAATCTTGATTACCTTTAAGAATTCTCCTCTTTGTAATGACCACTGAACTTTTCCTTCTACTTGTTATAGGACTGACAACCCCAGTGTCTCTACGGATACATTTCAGTGCTTCTTAGAATTAGGGAGCTCTGGGGACAGAAGTGACTGTCATCACTAACAGAATAGGCAGGAATATATTTCTTTCTATGATACAAGGATATGGATATAAGAGACATAACCTTAAGGTGTCAGCTGTTTGAATTTTCAAGTTAAAAGTCAAGTGATGTTGAAAGTGTTTTCATATAGTTTTTAGCCACTGGTAATTCCACTTTTGAGAATTACATAATCATAGTCTTTTCCCATTTTTAACTTGTTTGTCTTCTTTTTACTGTTTTTTTCCAATTTTTATGTATGAAGGTAAAACACTTTTTCCAGAAAAGACACATGCACAAAAGAAAACCACAGACCAAGTGCAATTTCATTTAATACTAGTTTTCAACTATTAACAAACTAGAAGCCAGTAACACATTAAAGGAGAAAAAACACTATGCACAAGTATGGTCAGATCCAAGAAATCAAGAATGCTTCATATTAGGGAAATTATTAGTTTCATTACATATTAATAGATCAAGGGTTACAAACCACATAACTCATTCAAATTTGCTTCAAAGGTATTAGATAAAATTCCACATCCAGTCCTTCAGTTAAACACATACACACATATATCACACATGAACTTACATGCTCCTAACCATACAGAACTAGGTAGATACTTCCTTAACCAAAGGCCAGATGAAGCATTAGAGGAATTCCTACTAAAATCATGAATGAGCTGATGACGCTCATTATCAGCAGTACTATGTAACATTTTTCAGAGATATTAGCAAGTCTGACAAATCAGAGGAAATATAAAAATTAAAAAGGAAATGCAAAATGATTATTTGCAGTTGACATAATTTTATGCCTGTGAAATCTAAGATGAACTGAAAAAAGACCTACTAAAACGTTTCTAAAGTTCATTAAGGATATCTGCTTATGAAGCTGAAATTTAAAAATCAGTACCTTTTCCATACAGAAACAATTACCGGCAAGAAAATATAATAAAATAAGTCAATTGCATTAGCAAAAAAATAACACCTAGGAATAAATGTAATATGAAATGTGCAAGACTTATAAGAAGCAAACTTAAATATCTACTGGGGAATTTATTAGAAGACTTAAATAAGTTGAAGGACTCAATTTGGAAGCATCCCAGTTCGCCATAATTAATCTATAAATTCAGTATGTTTCCAGTTTTAAAAAACTGACAGAATTTAAAAATTTTTCTTCAAGAATAGTAAAGTTTATCCAGGTGGGATATGGAGTACAGGGAAGCTGCCAGAATAGCCAGAAATTTTTTGAGAAAAACAAGGGAGGGACTAGCTCCACCAAATATTAAAATACATTATAAAACTATAGCAATTACTACAGTAATTAAAAGCATTTGGCACTGACAGATCAACTGAGTAGAATTTAGAGTCTGTTAGAAATAAGGCCAAATACATATGAAATTTAGCATATGATTAAAGCATTTCAAATGAATGTGGGAAGGATGAATGACAATTAATAGTGTTAGGACACTTGGCTAAGTCACTTAGGAAAAAACAACCTCAATCCCTGTCTTTATTCTTAAGTAAAATTAATTCAAAGTCTTTCTAAAACATAAATTATTTTTTTTAATGGAATCATGTATATTAGAAGAAAACATGAACGATTAAAAAAGATTCTTGGAAATGAGAAATCCTTTCTAAACAAGATATAAAGCCCAGAAAAGGAACTACTGATTAGTATGACCATTATAAAAAATAAATCTTAAAAATAACTTCATGACTACTGACAAGCCAACAGAAAAAAAAAAACCTCATTTACACATAAGAGCTTTTAAAAAATCAGTAGAAAACTAGGGAAAGTGTAAGAAAAAACTCTGAAAAAGAATGTGAGAAAGATAGGAACTTAAAAAAAAGCTAGATCGCAATGATCACTAAAGAAATTTAAAGAATAATGAGATGTAATTTTTTACCTATTCAATGGACAAGAATTAAAATTATGAAAATACCCAGAGGAAATTACAGTGCTGGCCAAGCAGACACGCTTGCAGATGGTAATGCAGGCTCCTTGGAGGGTAATGTGGTCAAAACATAAAATACACGGATATAACCTCTTGCCAAAATTTTGCTAATAAAAACCTATCTGATGGTTATGACTGCAAGAGTTTGTGCAAACTGGCATGAACAAATTAGATAAATCCACATATGATATGAAAAAACCTCCAAGATCTTTTGTTGTGTGAAAAAGGCCAAGATGCAAAGTACAATCCCATCTGTGTACAGAGGAAAATGACTGTATCCTTGTATAGTCACATAAAATTTATACAATGTAAGAAACATACTAGTAGTTACAGCTGGGAAATTTAGGAGGAATGTGTTGGTAGAAAGTTTGTGGATTCATTCTTTGTCTTTGGAAACTTTTTTTTTGCAATGTTTAAGAGTTTTGTGTGTGCATGTATTACTTTTGCATTTAAAAAGAAGTTTATCAAAATGTAGTGAATCCCTCCCATCCATTCAAACACCGCACTAGTGTGTGGGGCGATTCTAGGGAGATTCCAGTTAGGGAACTTGCAATTCTTTTCAAGAGATCCAAAACATGTACATAAAGAAAATAAGGGGAAAGTATAAATTTCAGAGAAAGCTCTTTTATACAAATTTAAGGACAGAAGAGACGTACAGGAGAGTCTTCTTAGAGCTGGGCCTTAGGAGAGTGGATAAGATTTCATTACACAGAAATGGAATGGAAGTCATGTAGGGAGGGGAGGAGGCAGGGGCAAAGATCTCTGAGAAGCAGGATATTATCAAGTATCTATGAATCGTACATGGTTCTAGAAAGGTAGTCTGGAAACCAACTTTTGGAAATGTAGGTTACGATAATATTATAGGATCTTAAGAGAATGATTATGTGGGGATAATGCGGAAGCATAATAGTTTCTGAGCAAGGAAGCGGTAAGACAATTGCTGAGGTGCAGAACTTCAGTCTGTAAGGGCAGGTACTGAGGCTGCCATGTGATGGCAACAGAGACTGTTGTGTGTCCGGATGGGAGATGGTGAGGACCTAGCAGTGTGCATGTGTGTGGTGGTGGGGGGTGGGGAGGGTGCAGGCATCAGAAGCGAGGAAAGGTGCGAGGATTGTGACAGACACAGGACACACCTTGACCAAGATCTCAGGGTAGGTCGTCTAAATTGGGATTCTCTTTTTAAAATGTACACTTATTCTTAACTGTTCTGCAGTATATCACCCTAGCTTGTATATTCATCTAAAGCAAAAGTCACTAAGACTAATACTAAAAGAGTAATACTTATAATAACAAATCAAATGGGGAGGCTGAGATAAATATATCTTGGGCAGCTGCACAAGATCAGGCCTCCCCCTGCTCCCTGCCCGTGTCAGTGAAAGGCAGACAAAATTTCAGACATTCTCAGTCTTCATTAAGGCTCAGTTCAAATGAGCCGCATCAACATGGTCCTTGTGGAATTTTATTATCACCTCATAGTCCTTGGGAAACTATTTTCACACAGATCAGTGCAGACCACTTATTCTCGTTGTTCAACAATTATTTAAAGTCTCCCATATGCCAGGCCCTGTGCTAAATACTCACTTGGTGCCTTCAAACAGCTCAGAGCCTGGTGGAGAAAATAAAAAGTAAGCAGACACTGGGACATGTGTGATGCTGTGGATGGACTCATATCAGGGCATGACGGGAACGGAGAGCAACTCGGGATTCGTTCACCAAGGGCTGGAGATCCTACCTGGGGGTTGGGACTTGAGGGATGAATAAATAAAATCTTCATTCATTCTTTTAACAAGCTACGTTTCAGGCATGGCTTTATGCATTGTGACAAATACTACAGGCATTAGCCCTACCCTCACAAAACTACATTCTGGTGACAGGAAACATGACAAAAACAAGACAGATTGGTAACCCAGGGAGGGACAGAGAGGCTACTTTAGGCTGGGTACAGGAAAGTTTCCTGTGATACTGTGACATAAAGCAATTCATGCCCCAATATACAGCCTACGTGAGCAGAGTCCAACTCATCTACAATGCAAACGTTAGCAAGAGAGCCTCTACAAAAGTGATTTCCAAGAGCCAAACATTGTACAATGTGTTATACCCATTGTGTCATTTATCCTCTGCAATGTCATTTGCAGTAGGTGACATCCCCATATTGTGGGAGAGAAACTGGCGCTTCTTATTAAACAACTTGCCCAAGACCAAATTGCTAACATGTTCTTAGTTCCCTCTCTTACCAATGTCCCAAGTTCCACTGAAATATGCTCAGGGTGGTCTCTTGGAACTACCTGTGGCATAGCGTGCCAAGCAGGGCATTTGAGATCCTATCAGTGGACCCTGATAGGTGGCATCTT